AGGCAGTGTGGATACTGGGGTCACAGGAGAGTGAGAGAGAAGGCAGTGTGGGTGTTGGGGGATGGCTACCTCTCGGAGGAGTGATCCAGCATGTTCATGTCGGCCGCAGACAGCGTGAACTCGCTGATGCGGATCCTCTCCTCCTTCTTCACGGAGATGGAGTAGTAGACGTAGACCTTCTTCACCGTCCCGAACCGCGGGTGGAACGCGATGCACAGGAAGCCCCTCTCGTCGCCGACCCAGGGCGAGGTCAGGACGGCCCGCGTGAGGTTGAGGAAGGGCCTGTCGACCCGAGAGCCGTTGGGCAGGTACACCCAGACGTAGCCCACCTGCTCCGCCACGAAGAAGCGGTGGGTGCCGTCGTTGGCGTGCACCATGGCGACCGGGTTGCGGAGCCCGTTGGCCACCTCTTGCAGGCAGAGTTGCAGGCAGCCCTCCGGGTCGGCCTGCACTGCACCCAGGTTGGCGTTCAGCTCGGTGTTGGTTAACACGTTGGGGTAGCAGTATTCGGGGTCTTTGAGCTCCAGCAGGGCGCAGAACGTGTCCCGGTCTCCCTCGATCTGTATGATGGTCTCGTTGTCCATCAGAAGGCTGAGAGTGGACCGGCACTGAAGCCAGAACTCTGTGCAGTAGTCACCACACAGTCCCGCCAGCTCCCTCATGGGCGTATTCGCATCCTCAGCGTCGAACAGGTGGGCAGCGTAAGGAGAGCATTCCTGCAACAAATAATACAAGAATGCAATACAAGTCATTTTACAGCTCCATGTTGCAGAATACCTAAATTATTGGTACATTAAGTGTGTTGACTTTTCCCCTTCGCTCCACTGCTGATATCGGTGTATTCAACACTTTGTACGGCACCCTCGACCCTAAGGAACTCTTTCGGAGGAGATTATGGATTCAACTTGAGGTTTAATGCAGGGCAGCATTTAACAGCAGTTTTGCTCCAGATGAGCTCTGGGTGACTGAATAGGATCAGTTATTTGCTTGTCCTGTGGTTATAAGCCTGTAATAACATTCTGTAGGTCTTCCCTCACTGGCTATTTCAAGCTAAGAAGAAAAAGTACAGATCTGCAATTCTGCAGCACTAGGGTTTTTTTTTAATCAAGAGAGTGCTCATGGCTTGTGCGTTCTTAAAAAATCACATAGAAGGTTAATGGAAGAAATGAAATATTTCCTTATGCATGTTTAGAAAAGATCTTAAGCTCAGGAAAAACCCATCATGGTGGGGCATATGAAGATCTGTCACGCAAATCTGCTGTAAAAGATGTCAAAGTTGGCCTTTGTCGAAGTTGAAAATCATCGCGCGACAGTGGCTCAGCGAGGAAAGGTGTTTCTCAGGATTGGAGGGAGAATCAGGGCTCCGTCTCTCTCTGCCAGTGACTCGGGCCTCACAGACAGTGGTGCAAAGGCGGTTGAAAGTGAGTCAGCCTGCTGCTCCCCAGATGACCCTGAGACCTTGCAGAGCTTTCCTCCGTCAAGAGGCTGCTCTCTCCACGGCTCGGAGATGTCCTCTTTCCAGAGCCAAAGAGCTTGCTGTGCCCAGCAGATAGGATCTGTTGACCAGATCCCTGCTCTACAGCTGTTTTTTTTTCAAATCTGGGGGAGGGGGGTTTTGCAAAGTAACATAATGTCCAATTTAATGTAAAAAATATAGCTTGCTGTTAGCTGTCAAATGGCAACTGGCTGGAAAAAATTGCAAAAATGCATCATGGACTGCCGTGGGTGGACAAGAAGTCTGGATCCTGTCTGATTAGCAATTAAACCTTTTGTACTTCTGCCAAAACAGTTCATTACAGCCGTGCAGAGGATTTCTCCCCAGTGCTCGAGCCCTGATTAGGACCAGCTTACAGAGATAGCAGCAATGTGGATGTGGAGGAACGCACTCAGACTGCCTGGAAACATTGTGAGGTGGCACGCAGCTCAGAGGAGGGAGCATGCCGACCACAGATGTGATATTTTTACTCCCTCCTCCATCCTTGGTTTTAGAGGCTGCAGGACTTTTGCCTGAGTCACCCTTGAAGATGAATGTCTGTATGGGAAGAATGGGAAGGAATTGCAAATCGTGGCCACCACAGGGACAAACCAAAGCTGAACACAAGCTCATGCACATGATGAAAACTTTCAGCTCACCATGATATGCCATTCAGATTCATTTCTGAACTGCTTTAAAGCGGGATATTGTATAATCGTGCACATCGTGTGAAGGTACACACCAGTATGTCTCTGGGCTGTGTGGGGAAACTGGAGCACCTGGAGGAAACTCACTTGAACATGGAGAGAACGTGCAAACTCCACACAGACAGCACCTCCAGGTCTGGAATTGACCCCAGGGCTCCAGCACTGTGAGGCTGCAATGCTAACCCCAGTGCCACCCAACAATGAATTAGATTAAGTAAATACATGTATTTGAGAAAAGAGATGGTCTGTCCCTGTATCTACAAAATCTGCTTGACCTGATACAAGTCGTAATTCAACAGAGCAAGGTCAATCACCCAAACAATTTATTGTCTTATATTTCTGTGGGCTGTCTCCAAATAGATACGTTGAGAAACACTGGACAATAGGGATTACCAAAGCTCTTTTTACGCTTAATATTAAATTCCCTGGAATGTGCCATTTAAAAATAATCTTTATTGCTGCTTTAATCAAGATTACCATGCAGGTGCCATACCACAGCATATGCTCTTGAGTTTGTTTCATCTCCTACATTGCATTTAGACTTGCTGTCTTGTTCTCTTGTTGTTCAGACCTGTTCCTATTTATATTTTTATTTTCCCAGCAATCATGATTAAGCAGAATCTCCATCCTCTGCCTAATGAAGGCTTTCTCTTCCATTGTGGTTGTTTTCTCTTCTGGTTATGGTGATAAACCGAGAGTGAAAAAACAAAATCACCGCCTTTAATAAACCAAATAGCACCTCTTGAGCTCAGAATAAACACAGAAGGCATTATTGCCACTCACCACCACATCTGCTGGACATGAGATGTATCACGTACAGCCCCGTCTCCCAGACAGAAGAATGGGAGGCAGGAGAAATGAGAAGCCTTCAATTACAATTCACTTTCTTTTGACTGTTTAAATGGCCCGTTGACAAAGTCCCGAGCCACAGTCTGCAATCGAGCAGAAACAGAAGACGTCCCTGGGAGTTGCAGAACTGGAGGAAGTTACCTTCTGCTGATGAAAACAGATGCCAGATGTTGCCTGAACCCTTTAACCCCTTAATCAGGACTGACCATACAGTATGCAGGCTTAGTGAGTTCATCTAGGGTGGCAGTTAGTGCTGCTGCATTCAAGCTCCCAGGGTCCTGGGTTCGAGATCAGCCTCGGGCATTGCTCTCTGAGTTTCCTGCTACCTCCCAAAGGTGTTTGACCTAGGTTTGGGTGGTGATGCTAACCTGTCCCATTCAATCGCCCAGCAATTGGTTGCTGTCCTATCCAGGGGAGAGCAGACATGTGCTGTGTCCCACCTTGTGCCCTGTGATTCCAGGACAGAGACAAGCAGTTTTCTGATAATGGAAGGATGTATGGAAGAGTTAACTTTAAGAGTGACCGCTCTGCTGTGTCAGCCTTCTGTCTCTGCATGGAGAAATGATTTTTCTTTCCATTTCACAATTCTATTGTCTGGAGAATGGAATGTGAAAAGCATGATAAACAGAAGATGCGAGATAGCACTGTGGTAAGGACCATGTGTTGCAACTTGCTGAGATGTAGTAGGAACTGAAAGATGAGCTTGCACAAGTGCAACACAAGTAAGAATTAAGGAAAACAACAAAAATAGTTCAGTCTCAACTCCCTGTGAGATCAGCTTGTGTTTTACTCAGTGCACGAGTATAATAGATCATCTCGAAATGCAAACATGCATTTAAAAATGCCGGCTTTGTTTAGATAGTTATTTACACGCACACAAAAGTCTGCAGAATGTATGACCTTAACAGTGGGCTGCGATAAACGAATTCTTATCTTTGAGAATCGGAAAGGTTTGTCCCTATGGGTCTGGAACACCCGTAGAAAGAAAATGAAAAGAAAGACTTTGCCAAACATTCAAGCATCAGTCCCTGATCACAGAGGAAATACCTTTACGATTTAAAACGCAATTTTCCAAGGAACGTAACTTATTGAAAAAGATCAGAAAGGCAAATCTGCCTCGCTGGCCGGGATCTCACCTGGCAGAGGATGCTGCGAATGTATTTCCCGCAGATGATGAACCCAGAGAAGTCGAAGTAATCCATGATCTCGTAGTACCTCCCGGAAATGCGGGTGTCCCGCTCCAGATCGCAGCAGCCGAACTCCGAGTACTCCTTGCAGAACGTCAGGGGCTCGGGGGGCTGGAAGGGGGGCTTGTAATCCAGGCACTGCGGGTGGGAGTCCAGCACCCATGGGGCGCAGAGGATCAGCAGCCAGCCCCCCAGGCGGACAGCCTGCAGACGAGTCTCTCTCATGGCAGGCGAGGCTGAGCTCTG